ACCATATTTAGATTCTCGCTCAAAAATGTAATCGGAAGATGGAGGGCCTTGGATTGTCTTTTTAGTCGCAACAGACGTAGCAGAAGCCACTGAGGAATGAACTCCACGACGAAGCACAGCAATGGTCTGCAGATGAGCTAGTCTGGAAAACATCGTGTCCTTCAAGTAGGAATACCACCGACCTGTTCAAAAAGAAGAGAAGGCAGTAAGAGTAAAAGTCTTCCCAGAGTCAGTGCATGTCGGCTTATCATGTGTTGAGCATTTACCAAAGTCCGCCAAAGAATCAAGAAAATGAGGGAGAACAAAGACCCAGTCCTTGCCTGGGGAAGCTTAAGGGAAATAAGCACATACATGTTTAGAGTCAAAGCTGACAAGGACAACAGCAGGATGTGCACAAAGTACTACAGGCAAGGAGGCCAAGAGAATAGGTAAGAAAATCGAGAAAAACTATGGATGGGAGGTCAGGGGCTTTGACTCTCACTTACACTCTTCTTTTCTGTGCCACTCGAGTGTTCTTTACTAAGCACACATACTTTTTTTAAGTCATCAGTACTGAGAGTACATCAAGGACAAGGAACTCACTCTGGGGAGTCAGGCAAGGCTGCACAGCAGAGGGGCTAGAGAGTACCTGATCTTGTGGACTGAGCACCTGTTATAAGGGACTGCTGTGGGGCCGGATCCTTTCAAATGGGCAGTCCCCTCAGTACACAGACCAAATCAGAGGAGGAGGTGGGATCAGGCCCCACATTGGGCTCCCGGCTCAGTGGGGAGCCTGCTTCTCCCTCTCCCTCTGCTACCACACTCCCAGCCCCCCACCCCCCTCCGCTCTTGCATTCACTCTCTCTCGCTCTCAAATAAAAAAACAGAATCTTAAAAGTTGCCAGGGGCACCTGGGTGGCTCAGTTGGTTAAGCTTTGGACTCTTGGGTTGGCTCAGGTCATGATCTCAGGGGTGGGGCTCTGCACTCAGCAAGGAGTCTGCTTGTCCCTCTCCCTCCCCCTCTGCTCCTCCCCCCTCATTCAAAGGGAGGTGCGCCCTCTCTCTCTCTCTCTCAAATTAATAATTTTTTTTTAAAGTTGACAAACACTAAGCATACTTACTACGTCTATATTTTTTTGTCTATACTTATGTTTTAAAAAGACTACTTAAGTCATGTTTAGACAGAGTTCCATGAATGACAAGTCAAATCACACAACCTCCTAGCACTCATTTTAAGCTGCCAAATTAGCAAAAACTTAATACTTGGAGTTTGGCTTACTTCCCTTTCAGCCTGGCACGACACGGTAAATCCAGTATGTTCAGGAATTCACAGTTACTAAACAAAATCCAGCACTCCGTTTGCCCAAACTCACCAACTATCCTTTCTTCCCACAGTTCAGATGAGAATACAGATTTTTAATCTGAGATGCAGGGATGGTGTTCAGAGGATCCAATAACTCCTGAAATAAAATGCAGAATTGTATGCATAAATGCATTCTCCGAAGGAGAAGGTCCTTAGCTCTCACCAGGTTGTATCCGGGGGAGGCACATTATATAGGAACTAGCAGACAGGGGACAGTGGCTAGCAAAATGCAAGGTCTAGCTATACAAAATGAGACAGAACTTCCCCAAAATACTACTGTGAAGTCTAAAACATGGATTTTAACTTTATTTCTTGGCCTTTTATGCTCTATGCAGTAAGAATTAATGCTCTGTTCGACCAACTAAAAAATTAACAATTTCTGCCTTGATCAAATTAGCAATAAAGACTATTCACCATGACCAAGTGGGATTTATCCCTGGGCTGCAAGGTTGGTTCAACATCCGCAAATCAATCAATGTGATACAATACATTAACAAAAGAA